GCTGTCTTGAGAAAATATACCAAATTTAAGACCTTTATTTGGTATGAAATAACACCAAAATTGATCGCAAAAAGTGAAAGGAAGCTTAGAAATCCGTTCATTCCTGACCACACTTTTATAGAATGCTGGCCGCTCTTTAAACCACAGAAACAGCTTCATTATATTGCCACGTGGAAAATTAGGGAAGACCAACTTCGGTATAAGACAGCAATTTATTTCAGGTAAGAACAAACTATGAATGGTAAAAAAAAAGATAAGCCACGAGGGAAATTTATAGAGTAGCAAAATATAAACATAAAAAAATGACCACTCTGTTAATAAAAATAATAAAATTAATAAACACTTTGTTACATAGATTCTTCCCTATGGGAGCTGTGACCCACAGCTAGCAATTATTGTAGATATTGACATGGATCTGACGTGCTTCTGACAAGGATTCCTTCGAACTCTTGGAACTTTGTCCTTAGTACCTTTGCGTCATTTTTTTGCGGCGCGAAGAGCGGCTTTGTCGTCGTATCGTCTATAGGGACATCGTCATCTTCGGGGGAAGTCTTCGCTTTAGCACGGCGGTGGAATCCTGGAGTCAGTTTCCGAAAATGTAGATCACAGCAGCCATGGCTTCAAGGTCTTCTCGGCGGTCTTCAGCTTGTTTTCCCTAACTTACCCAGCATCTCAACCAAATTGCTACGAGGAAAATTAGGGAAGACCAACTTCGGTATAAGACAACAATTTATTTCAGGCAAGAACAAACTATGATTAACAAAGATAGGCCACGAGGGATTTTACAGAGTAACAAAATATAAACATAAAAATGACCACTCTGTTAATAAAAATAATAAAATTAATAAATACTTTGTTACAATATTATATTATCCATTCCATGCTACACTGGCAACCTAGAATTTTGAAATTTTATACACTCGCATTGTTTAATGGGAATGAAATAGGTTATAAAATACCAGATTTCTTCGTGCTCTATATGCATATTAAGTAATAGATCATTATACGGTTGTACGAACGGGTCTAGAACGACAGTCATTTCTGAATCCGTATTATTAAAGTTTTACCTGCATAATTCATATAGGTTGTGATATATATATCTACTTATATATTTGCCTTATTCTGTCTGTTTGTCTGTATGTCTGAAGCTCACGGATAGAATGCGCGCCCATTGGCTGCCAGCGAACACGTGGCCTCCCTGCCCCCCTCTAGACAACCCTGTTATCAGCTGTGCGATACATACACCTGTCTATAGCGGCCACTCTAGACAACCCTGTTATCAGCAGTGTGCTACATCCACCTGTCTAAACAGACCACTCTGTCTATAGCGGCCACTCTAGACAACCCTGTTATCAGCTGTGTGATACATCCACCTGTCTATACAGACCACCCTGTCATAGCGGTCACTCTAGACAACCCTGTTATCAGCTGTGTGATACATCCACCTGTCTATACAGACCACCCTGTCATAGCGGTCACTCTAGGCAACCCTGTTATCAGCTGTGTGATACATCCACCTGTCTATACAGACCACCCTGTATATGGCGGCCATTCTAGACAACCCTGTTATCTGCTGTGTGATACATACACCTGTCTATAGCGGCCACTCTAGACAACCCTGTTATCATCAGTGTGTTAAATTCACCTGTCTATACAGACCACCCTGTCTATAGCGGTCACTCTAGGCAACCCTGTTAACAGCAGTGTGATACATACACCTGTCTATACAGACCACCCTGACTATAGCGACCACTCTAGACAACCCTGTTATCAGCTGCCTGTCTATACAGACCACCCTGTCTATAGCGGTCACCTTAGGCAACCCTGTTATCATTAGTGTGTTACATTCACCTGTCTATACAGACCACCCTGTCTATAGCGGTCACCTTAGGCAACCCTGTTATCAGCAGTGTGATACATCCACCTGTCTATACAGACCACCCTGTCTATAGCGACCACTCTAGACAACCCTGTTATCAGCTGTGTGATACATCCACCTGTCTATACAGACCACCCTGTCAATAGCGACCACCCAAGACAACGTTTTTAAAATATATTCGCACTCGGGTAAACCCCGGGCGTTGCCCGGGCCTTTCGTCTAGTATGTGATAAAGTCCTGTTGACTTTTGTAGAATTCTGTCGACTCGCTATACTGTGGTAACCGAGGGTCTCTCGCCGTGGTATGGTAACCAAAAGGGGCAAACCTATAGTAACCGAGAGGGACTGTCAGGACGTGGATAGTTTTCCAGTACCTCTCTGCACTTTTGGAGACCTTTAACAGTTCTCACAGAGTACAGGCAGTCGTGGACGAGGCAGAGTGGAAAGTTCGGGAATGTCCACACAAAAAACTAAGACACAGTTGCACTATGAAAGTTTCGTGAACAGATAAAAGTTGAGCTGGGAGCTAGTTCTTACTGGTCTACATGGAGGATGAGGAGGACCTTGGTGATAACCGACGAGGGCTTCCGCTGATGGTGAAGTGACTATATTTTTGGCTAAGACGGGGACTTATATATATTTTTCAAGAAAGGAAGTACACCTATCCCCCGATTTACACGGTACTAGCTTTACACGTTTTCGCTTTTACACGGTTTTCCAAATAAGTTTTTTTTTTGCTTTTATCGCAATTTTTATCGCGGGAAAAATGCGGGAAATTTTGGAGGGAAATGATGGCAATTTACCAAATAGGCTTAATTAAAATAAAAAAAATATTAATTTGAATAAAAATTATAATATAAAATATTTTTTAAAAATAAAAGTTTTTAATCTTCCCTCCAAAATTTCCCGCATTTTTCCCTCTGGATTTTACTTTAATCACAGCCAAATTAATATACATTTAAATAAATTATAGGCTTATAATGAAGAAAGAAGTTGAAAAAAGGTTATTTCTTTAGAAACTAAAATCGAAATTTCGGATCGCTTACGAAAGGGAGATAGAGTAGTAGATGTTGCAAAATCATATAGCATGAACGAATTTACAATTAGAACTATTATAACAAATGAAAACACAATTAGAGAGAATGTTGCAGCTGGCAATTCAACGAATATCGGCACAACATCATACACCAGAAATATCGCAATGGAAAAAATGGAGCAAGCATTAATACTTTGGATAGAAGATCAAACACAAAAAAGAGTACCCATTGATACGGGCGCTATAACAAATAAAGCATTACGAAATTACAAAAAAATTGTAGGGCAATTGCCATCTTCTTCTTCGACTGGAAAGAAGCCAAATTTTTTGACAAGTCATGGCTGGTTTGAAAGATTTAAAATAAGACATTCTTTACACAGCTTAAAATTAAAAGGTGAACTAGCTTCTGGCGACATAGATGCAGCCCAAGAATATCCAGCAAATTTTGCAGAAATTATTAGCGACAATTCATACACCCCTGATCAGATTTTCAATGCTTATGAGTCAGGGTTATTCTGGAAAAAAATGCCTGAAAGGACTTATGTCTCAAAATTTTATAAATCGGCTAGTGGTCATAAAGCAACAAAAGATCGCATAACAATTATTTTCTGTAGCAATGCTTCAGGAGATTATATTATGAAGCCATTATTGATTAACAAATCAAAAATGCCCCGTGCCTTTAAAGGAGTAAACATCAATAATCTTCCCGTTTATTGGAGGGCTAATGAGAAAGCGTGGGTTACTGCTGCAATGTTTACTGAATGGTTTCATGAATGTTTTATCCCAGATGCCAAAAATTGCCTTTTAAAGTGCTTTTGTTAATTGACAATGCGCCGGGTCACCCATGAGATCTAGAATATGATAACGTTAAAGTACATTTTTACCAAAAATACAACTTCATTATTACAACCATTGGACCAAGGAATATATTCTACTCTTAAAGCTTTGAACATAAAACGATCCTTCACATATATTTTGGAACAAATGGAGAACAATGAATCTTTAACAGTTATTAGTGCTTGGAAAATTTTAACAATGTTAGACTGTGTGAAACATATCGCCTTATCATACACTACGATTAAGCAAACAACGCTCAATAGCTGTTGGAAAAAAGTGTGACCAAATGTAGTCAAAAATGATTACTCCATTTCAACGTTAAATGAATATTCGCTGATAGTACAGATGGCGCATTCATTGTGCGGAGAAGGTTTTGATGATTTTACTGATGGTGATATAGAAGAGTTAATGGCTGATAAAGAACTAAGTGAGGATGATTTAGTTAACTTAGTTTGCGAAAGTGAGTCTGACAAATCTGATGAAGAGTAATTAGTACAAGTAACATTCACTGCTAAAGTCATCCGCGAAGGAGTCGCATTGGGAATAAAGCTGGGTAATCATTTTATGCAAAATGACACAAACGTTGAAAGGGCTTTACGATTCCAACGTGACATAAATCGCTGCTTGGCTCAATATGAAGAAGTTTACAAAGATCTTACAAAAATATTCGAAGCAATTGTTAATTAACGATTTTATTACCATCTCTCATAATGTAAATATTTCTGCTTCAAACATCGAATCGGCACAAATAACTTCGAGTGATGAAAGTGAAATCGAACCTTCGATTCCGAAAAAAAAGAATGAGAATAATTTCTGACAGTGATGAAGGATAATAAAACACCTTTCGTTTTATCTTTTGTTTTTCTGTTTATGTATGTATTGTATTTATATAAAAAAGCAGAGTTTCCGTAATATATTACATATTTTAACGTGTCAATGCATTTTATTTTTATTTCTGTGTACACCTAAAATATTTAAAAAATCACAACTCTTAAATAGCAAAATTATGCATTTTCTGCAAGCTTTTCGATTTACACGGTTTTGACTTGAAAATTTTTAATTTTTGATTTACACGTTTTTCTCAGGAACGTATCTACCGTGTAAACATGTACACATTTTTCCGTTCGTAAATATTATATAAAGTAATTTAAAATACAATATAACGCGGCTGATGATTGTAAAACGAAAATTGCAATTATACCGCGAATATATTATTACTTTATAAAATATTTACGAACGGAAAAATATGTCCAGGGTAGCCTAGTGGACATGGCATCTGCCTGGTAAGCGGAAGGTCGTGGGTTCGATATCGCCCCTGGACACTTTTATTTTTCCGTTCGCCATTACTCTTCATATTTTCACCCTTTCATACTTCATCCTTGAAGTTAGAAATGGTCGTTATTTCTCTTTAAAATAAATTTCGATTTTTGTTTAAAAGAAACATTCGCGGTATAATTGCAATTTTCGTTTTACAATGCTGTATATAATCACCCAAATTTATATTTGTATATCTTTACCTTTTATTTTATCATTTTAATTTATTTTTAACATTGGTCTTAACATTTTTATCAATTATAATTTATAAACACACCCTTTTCATATTTAATCACTATCATAAGTTAGCAAAAATCATACTCAATATTATTAGATTACAACCCCATATTTTACATATACTACGCAACCCCATCATATCAAACGATTTTGTAAACAAAACATTTCTCCATTGTAATTACCTTATGCTTTGATATACAATCAGCATAAGCATAAACTTTAGTAATATATTCCAATATATAATAGCTTTTCATAAATAACATAATTATACTGTAACAGCCCAAAAATGCTACAATAGAATTTGCCAGTTTGACCTCATGTAATACAAAACAGGATAATCAAATTTGTTTTAGAGTCCGTTGGGGCCAAGACAGGACAAAGGGTTTCCGATTACAGATCGACAAACACAATCGGTTAACAAACAGTTGAACTCTTTCTTTCATGTAGATCACTCGCTTCTGGATTTTGTCCGCGCCTTCGGCTCTGGCTTCTCTTATAGGTGACATCCAATCTGCCTCGTCCTTTTGTGTTACTCATTGACGCCTGAAATCACTGTGGCGCCCAGACTATATCATCCTGCCTACCACCACAATCAGTGGACAGGATAACCTTACCATGACATATACAAGGTAGGATCAAAAAGTCCCCGAACTTTTTTTTAAATTAATTATTTATTCATAGTATAGTAACTTAGACATCAATTTTTTCAGAAGCAGCCTTAGTTATCTACACACATTTTTCCAGCCTGAAAAAAGCTTTTGAAATGCTGGTTCAAAGTCAATTTTTCTAAGCTTGTTTAGCTCAACCGTCACGTTTTCAATTACTTTTGATGACGATAAAAAGCGCCTCCCTTTTAACGTCATTTTAAGTTTTGGAAAGAAGAATAAATCACATGGGAAGATATCAGATGGGTAAGGAGGATGCGGTAAGACAGATACAGAGTGTTTAGCGGAATAGTCTTGAACAATAAAGGCTCTATGAGCAGAGGCATTATCATGTAGCAATTTCCTTTGTTTTGATTTAAAGAATTGGTTTCTTTTTCTCCTAATCGCATCACGAAGGCGCACAAATATTTCTTTTTATTCCTGTTTATTAATAGTAACCCCCTCTTCAATAAATTCATAATAGACAAGTCTTTGATAATCGAAAAACACTACAAGCATTACTTTTCCTTTGGACTTGTCTAAACGAACTTTCTTCTTCCTAGGAGAACTTGGTGTGTGCCATTCAAGTGATTGTTTTTTTGGTTTATGGATCAAAAAGAAAGCACCATGTTTCATCACCAGTTATTATTGTTTTTAAAAAATCAGAATAATTATTTGCAGTTTCAATTAAATCTTTGCAAATTGATAATCTGGTTTATTTTTGTTGAACTGTTAAATTTCGTGGGACAAAATAACCACAAAGGTTTTTCATGTTTAAATGTTCACTAATAATTTTTTGACAACTATCATACGAAATTCCAAGTATTTATGATATATTATCAATAGTAATCTTTCTGTCAGCAACAATTAAATCACGTACCTGTCCAATATTGCGATCCGTTGTTGACGTCAATGGCCGACCTGACCTTGAATCATCTGCGATGCTCTTTAAACTTTCGTTCGTGACAATTTTTCGTCTTCATAAACCTCATTCATTAATGCTAATGTCTCTGTGAAAGACGTTTTTAATTTTACACTAAATGTATTATTTTCCCTTTGCTCAAACGATGACATTGCAGAAACCGACGCGAGCTGAATACTTACCACAAAAATATGCCTAAACCTTTACTGGCGTTGCTAAATTAAATTATAGTTTAGGCTTTGTTCTTTACAGAAAAATTGATTTTACATTTTTCAAAAGTTGTTTTATATTTTATTTTTTTAAAGTTCGAGAACATTTTGATCATATAGTGTATGTATATATTGTTGCACCAAGTTGAAGCTTTGCAGGGTCGTCGACCTTGGTTTTTTCCTTCTTGGTGTTATACACGTTTCCCGAGCGGGTTTCCATATTAAAAGTAAATAAATAAAATTAAATAAAAATAAATTACCTTTAAAAGTTATTGTGTTTATTTGTTCTTGTCTTCCTCGTAGGTTGCGATCCGCAGTCTTCGTCTCGGTCCTCTCCCCCTCCAATAAGCAATAAAGATATATGTACAATAAATATTACAAAAGGAGTGGAACTATAAAAAGAAATGATGCTTATCTTAATGTTCTGTTTTAAATAAATATTAAATATCATAGAATATTTTGAATAAATGTAAGGCACATTAAAATTGATGTAACACTTCCCCCTCTCCAGAGGTTGTCACGTCCTCGTGAATGACCTCATCCATTCTCTCATAATAAGGCTTGATTCTTGAAACATGAACTATCAGAGGGTCTTGAGGACACTATTACGAATTCTTAAACCTCCGAAAGTTGCAACAAGTGACTATAAAGCATAGCACGAAGCGGAGGTTAGAAAGAAAAACAAACCAATAACGTACCAGTAAAAACCTTCCGATCTATTTCTATTGCAACAGACCTCGGCATGTGGTACAATATTGTTAAAACGTCTCCGAGAACACCAGAAAAATAATTTAAATGGCCCAGCCCAATATTTCCATCATAATCGAACTAACAACAATAAAATATTCGTTACCCCACAAAGTGCATACATAATCCTGAAGTGGAAGAAGAACAACCTTTCCTCAACAAACGACGCAATTATCCCAGAAGTCTATCACCATACCCCGGACGTGGAAGAGTTGCAAATGAAAATGCCAATCACAGTCGCCCATCAGGCTCTTTCCTAGGTCTATGGGCCAGAAAAACTAAGTCGCCCGACTCTAAAAAAAAAAATGAAGAGGTCGCCAGAGACGAAAACCCTCCATCGACGAAAGACGAATTAGATTCCAACTATCTTTATATTATCTCATAAATCGCCTTAATGTGAGAGCCTTAGTCGATACAGGAGCATCATTTTCAGTAATATCAGACGCATTTCGTCGAAAACTAAATATTGTATTCTATAAAGACCCGAGTATGGCGTTAAAGGTTCAAGCACGACCGATTTATGTCCCCCATTGGATTGTGTACCATTAAAGTTGAAGTTAATAAGTTTCTACAAAATCATTCGAATTTATGGTGCTTTCCAGCTGTAGCCAATTTTTTTCCCTGTGATAATTATTGATATGAAGCACATTATATCTACAGGGTGATCCAAAAGTCTTGCACAACTTTAAAAATTAATAACTCCGCGAATATTTGCGCTAGAGCAATACGGTAAACACCATTGTGTTCAGGATTCAATGGGATTTTTTAATGGCAAATAATTAAACATTCGAAATTGATTTTAGTTACAATTTTATTCGCTAGAATCGGAGCGTTTTACCAGAATCAGAGATTCAGCGGCCATATTGTTTAATAAATTGAAAAATATAACTTATTGACACGTATTTTCCCTTTTTGAATGCCAGGAAAGAACCCTAATAATATCAAATGATAAGTTGATAAAACCATTTCGCCAAAAGCAGAAGAATTGGTTGATGATTTTTAAGTACAATCTGAGATATGTAAAATAGGTATATGCAAATTAGAACATGTGCAAGAAAAATAAAAAATAAAGATATTTTAGATGTGGTTTGCTGGAATTCTCTCAGCTATTTAAATTTCGACGATAATAAATTTCTAATTTTTTCAATTCAACTCTCTCTCGGTATCGATTATATTTATTTTAATTCAATTGAAAATATATTTATCTATCTCAGATAACACTTGTCTACACTGAAAAACATGTTTCTGATAATGCATCAGTTTCTGACTTAATTTGAGGTGCTGATATATATATATAAGTAATTTTTATGTTTCTCATCAATTTTCAGAGATATAATATACATAGTTAGGCCACAATGTGGTACATGTTGATGTTTATTATTTAAAATATTCATTTTCATTCTATGATTTAATTAATCTGTGAACTAATTTATTCTGTGGTGTTGTATGTATATAAATATGTGTATTTCTTTGAGTAAGTGTGGGAGATAGTATTTGAGGAGACGTTAAGGTGTAAGAGTATTTAGTTTTATTATTGTCATTGTTTTTTGTGCCTTCAATAAATAAGTATTAAGTTTTAATAGAGAGTAATTTATTAAGATTCTCCCAACAATTGGTAGCAGAGAGCGTTTGAATTTAAATTGATGCAAATCAAGATTAATTGAATAATTTTTAGAAAAAAGAAAAGATGCAAAATTTTAACTTATCTCCAATAGAAAAACTATCAGACAAAAACTACTTGATCTGGGCAAATAGAATTGAAAGTGAATTAAGAGGATTGAAATTATGGAGACGAATTATAGAAGGAGAAGAAGTTGAAAAGCCAATAGAAACAGATGAAAAATTTGAGGAAAAAGTGAAAATCTGGGAAGATTGGGATGATGACAATGCAATTGCAAGAAATGTGATGAACCGAACAATGAATGACACTCAAGTGCTAAAATACTCGAGCGAAAAAAGTGCCAAGAGATTATGGAATATAATTGGGGAAGAAATGGCATCAAATAATGAAGACTTGCAGATGAAAAATAGAATAGAATTATCAAAATTAAAAATGAAGGAAGATGAAACGGTTGATGATTACTTAAATAGAGCAATGATTATAAAGAGCAGAAGCATTCAAGCAGGAGATGAAATAAGAGATATAGAATTAATTTGCTTCGTTTTGGAAGGTTTGAGAGTTGAATTTGATTTTGACATGAAAATTATAAATTCTGACAGGCAAAATAATATGAACACAATAAGACAA